GTACGATGACACATGGTTTGCGCACACTGACGAACGTGCCTACTCCAAGTCTTCTACTATTGAAGATGTCATCCAGGAAGCCCTTCAAAGACACGCCTCAGGTATAGAATTCCGCGAGTACGACGCAGGCCCCAACATTGATAGACAGATGAAGTCGGAAGGCTTTGACATCAAGATATGGACAGACTGGGAGACAGGTTTGATCTTTGGTGGCAACCAGTGGAACTGTGGTACATGGATGGACAAGATGGGTGAGAGCGAAAAGGCTGGCAACAAGGGTATTCCCGGAACGCCTCGAGACGGCGCCCCTGTTGAGATCATCGGCATGCTATACAGCACTGTACGCTGGTGCGCCAACATGTATGCAGCAGGCCAATTCCAGTACGAGGGTGTGAAACTGGACGACGGCAAGACGGTTACTTACAAGGAATGGGCCGACTTGATCAAGGCTAACTTTGAGCGGTGTTTCTACGTCCCTCACTCTGCCGAGGAAGATGGGAACTACGACGTCAACCCCAGCATCATCAACCGCCGCGGAATCTACAAAGATTTGTACCGGTCAGGCAAGGAGTACGAGGACTACCAATTGAGGCCCAACTTCCCTGTCATGTTGGTAGTTGCTCCGGACCTATGCAAACCTGAGCACGCTCTGCATGCTCTTCAGATGGCCGACAGAGTGCTCCTGGGACCTCAGGGCATGAAGACGCTTGACCCCTCTGACCTCAACTACCGGGGTTATTACATCAACAGCGAAGACTCCACTGATTTCCACACGTCAAAGGGCCGTAACTACCACCAAGGACCTGAATGGGTCTGGCCTACGGGTTTCTTCCTGCGTGCCATGCTCAAATTCGATCTTCAGCGCCGCAAGACGCCCGAAGAGCGTATCGAGAGCTACCAACAAGTCACGCGTCGTCTGGCCGGTTGCATGAAGGCTATTCAAGAATCTCCATGGGCTGGTCTGACGGAGCTGACGCAGAAAGACGGCGACTTCTGTGGCGACTCATGTCCCACGCAGAGTTGGAGTGCTAGCTGTATCATCGATTTGTTCCAGGATGCGCGAGAGTATGAAATGGCAGGGTCGAATGGCGTTGGCAAGTAGTTTGGGCAAGTAGGCCCATGTGGTTGGGGGGATCTCCAAATCGCAATTTGTGGTTGGTACAAAATAGTTTGGATACTGTGACATATGGAATGATGACATAGTGTGTGTTCTTGGATATCGTTTAACGACCTGTAATCGAAGTATGTTGTTGTCTCACCTTCAAAATGATATTTGATGTAAATCAAAGGACAGTTTTGTGTCTTGCCCCTCTGAAAGTTCTTCACTGTGCCATGGCACTGGCTACTCGACTTGTACAACGTACACGCAGTTTCCAAAATCAACATCTCTCTGTTCCATGAATTCAGAAGGTAGTCTCAACCTTCACTTGCAAGAGTACATTCACAGTCACACAGATAACCCATTTAAATACATTTCCCTTTCTCACTGCTACTGCCACTGCCACTGCTACTTACGCACTTTTCCCGCTTCAAGGCCAAGTTACAAAAGAAGGAGAAAGCTTCCTCTTTCCGCAATGAGCGAGAATCCCGTAGATCAGAAACGCGGTAAGAAGACCCAAAACGGAAACAAGAGGTCTGGTGTACGTTTTTGTGGTTTTTGCTCGTAGAAGACGAAGAGAGTCTGCATTCGCCCCTAGATGAGAACTCGCGCCGTTCGTCGTATCGTATCGTATCGTGTCGTGTCGTGTCGTGTCGTGTCGTGTCGTGTCGTGTCGGCCTGTACCGCAAGTTTGCAATCACCAATATTTACCGAATAAGATGGGAATGGAAGAAGGGAAAAAGAAATGGGGATTGCAGCAAATTTCGCCGTTGATATCTGGCGCTAATGCTGGCCAGAAAAGGGAATTTTTTTTTGCATTTACCATGTTCGGTAAATACAGATTCTTGCGGGGGGGAGGGGGGAGAGACTATGTAGATCTGCGTTTTTCCAGTGTTTTTTTTTGTTTTCTTCTTCTGTATGGGGGTGGATAATGCATGTCACAGCACCCCCCTCCTGTTTCTTTACACTTTTGTATGCAAAACATACTGGAACTTGTGTTTTTTTTTCCCTGCTGGTTCGGTTCTCATGCTTCTTCTTGTGGCTGATTTCCGTGTACCTTTTTTTTCTCGAGTGATAACTTGTGATAGACTACTGTATGGGTTAGAAAAGCACAGGCATTGGTGTAGTTTGATGCCCAAGGGGTAATGGGTCTGTATTGATAGAAATCCCGATGAAACCTGGAGAGTGACAGAAGGGACTTACTCGGTTTGGTTCGTCCCAAGGCCGAATGGGGCGTTGAGATATAGGGTATGAGAGAGGGAATTGAAGCGAGTGGTGAGAAAAGAAAGGAATTGCCGAGAGGAGTAAAGAGCGAAAAGGGTAAACCACCGTGTTATTCGAGTGTCACGCTGTACGGGGGGCTAGAAGCACGAGACTAGTTCCTCTTTCGGACACAGTGGAGGCAGGGCGTACGAGGTTAGTCGGCAAACTCGGCAATCGGGCTTTGATCTGATAAAACTTGCAGACTGTCTAGGTTAGGTTTAGATTTTCTAGTTTCTTTTTTCCAATGGACCAATTAATCTTCATCTTTCACCTTTTGCTTTTGTCGTCAGCCTGGCTCTTGGTTTTGCTTTTCCGCCCAACGGTCAGCAATCCTGAATCTACAGTGCATACCCCACACCAACCATTCCGATATGTCGTCTCCGAACGGACTTGGCCAAGGTGCATGCATGCGCGTAACATCTTCAGCTTATCTTTTTCCCACTTTGTCCCACTTTGCAGTGCGTTATTAGCGTGGCACTCACTTCCGTTTTCTGGGGCTAGGAGGGAGAAGCAAAACCAGGTGGCGTAGCAAAAGGAAGTCTGTAGGACAGGGGAGGCACGGTTCATCTGGGTGATGACTTAACCCCCCTCACCCCCCACCCCCTTCTTCCCTTGCCCACCATGTAACATGCAACATGCAATATGCAGACGCCATAGCCGTAGGTGGGAAACGCTAAAAGGACAGACATCTCCTCCACCAATTCCTTGTTTCTCCGTAACCACTCATGAATACATACAATTTGTGGCTACAGGAGTTCAGAAAGCGGGCAAGAAAAAAACAAACATAAAATCATAAGGCGGAAAATCGTGTGTGGAGAAGATTGCGGGGGTAGGAGAGAAAAGGAAAAAGATATGCGTCAAAGAGTTCAGCCATGTAAGCCAACGTAGGTACTGCGCATGAGACCACCACTCAAGCAGCTACTATGGGCGATAGCTTTGGTAGAGCATAGAGAGGAATGCTTGTATGATCTCCATTACGATACGCCCCTTTGAGGCATCCTTCCTTCTTTCTTCTTCCCTCTGGCTAACGCTAGATGTGTGGACGCCGGCTTGCTCGTAGAGTAGGATTTTACCAAGTCACTCATCGAGTATGATTGGTAAGTTAAAAAATGGTGTTCAAGATCTGCGCTCTGGGCGTGATAAGTGTTAGGACGTGTGGATGAGAATGGGCCAGTCTGGCTGATAGTCATCTTGCAGAACAAGGCTGTGGCGAAGGAAAGCGTAGACTAGAGTAGAGGACGTTGCACCGAGTAGAACACAGCCTGGGTGGCTTGAGGGTATCATTTGATACCAGGAGACGGCGAAGTCGTGTGGGCAAAGGGGCTTTTTGGCTTTCAGCGTATCATGAATGGATCATCCGCATGGATGCCCATGATTATACTGCATCCTGAAAATTGTAGATAAGCCTTGTATTAGCTATGTTCACGTGGAGGTGCATACGCCTAGTCTTCAAAAGCACGGTGCGTCATTCATACACTTTCTGTTTCTGGAAAAGGCGTGATCATGTGCTCTTTCTGAGAAGAAAGAGGCGCATGGCTCCACAAGGGACTCGTATAGAGGCAGCCTCAATTCGTCCCAACAAATAAGCTGTACAAGACGCAGACACCTAATATGATCTACAGCGCATAGTAGATGGTGTGTTACGGGGCGATGGTGATGCGTAATGTGACCAAGCTGTCACAGGTGTTATAGGAGTCGCGACGATCGAATTGATTACTTGCATGATTTGGACGGTCCTTGATTTTCTGCCAAAGTATAGAAAATCGCAATCTCGCACAACCTTCATCTCCCGTTTGTTTTTAAACTCCTCTTGGGTCGATATTCGTATCCAGTTACAATCCGTTCAACAACACGGCGGCTGCATAAACTAGGAAGATAGCGCTCCAGTTTTCGACTCTGCAATGACCGATCAGCTGATCAAATATGATCTCCACATCTCAATGATACATCCATAGACTAGCGGTCTGTATCTGGCCACCACTTTTGCGTCTTTCCTCATCGCGGCTTGCCTTCTTCAGCACCCCTGCCACGGGAGCCAGCATGTCACTGGATTAAATTTAGCGCTGTCTAGAACACATGATGGTCTGGGGTGGTGTTGTATTGATGGCAGAGGAGCTTCATAATAGGCCTTCGGCTGCATGGGTCCGTGGCCAGAATTGTCCTTGTCTAAAGCGGTAGGATAAGGCGATCACTGCGCAGCCTTATGCAGGTGACGCGGCACAGGTTGAGAATAGGAGTGGAGTAGAAATTCGGCGGAGACAGAATGAATGTAAAAGCGATTTCAAGTCCTGAAGGCGAATGGCGGTGCCCGGTAGACGGATTGGGTGTCTCCAAGAACACAAGGTCATCCTGGCGAAGACAACATGGGTATGCAAGCGCTTACCTATAGCGTGTCAAACGCAGTAGACATGGCCATGAGGTGGTAGCAATTCGGCTCGACACGAGCATCTGGACCTCTCATCGGCCATGCCACCTATCATGCAATAGGATCGATGGCCACCAGGAGCTCAGATGATTTCTTTTTGAGAGCATCTAGAAGAACGGACATGGATAACCATCCGAGCCACTAGGTGAAGGATTTGAGGATTCACCGGTGGCATTGAACAGTGGCTGGATGCCTGTGGACGCCCAGCCCAAGCCTCACTCGGAGCCCATGGCGATGTCGTGCAGGTGGAAAAAAATGCACAACCGTATCATGTTCGCGAAGGCTTTAGAGCTATCTCCTTCGGTGCAATGCGCGTCTAGGAACGATCCTGTAGGATGATGGCATGGGTGCAGACTCCTTCTTTACTGGATACACACACTGTAATCGCACGGGTTCATCCAATCGGCAAGGGTATCTTGCTCTTCATTCCCCTCGCACTGTTGTGGATGCACCCATGTGCTAGCGCCTCCGCCCGCCTGCGACAAAGATTGAATCAGCGCAACTGATCCGACTCATATTATCCCACTCTCTTCACAAGCCAATACATTGTTTCAAGAGCAGCGCGCATCCCTTTCTCTGTTGGTTCTGGGGGGGTTAAAATAAGGTACGGACGCGGCCCGGATAGCGAGCCCCACAAAGAAATAGGAAGGTAGTGAAACCGTTGGTCCATGCACGCCCAAATCAGACACATTTGAAAGGCATTCATGTGTGTAAGTGAACGTACTGTGCCAAATTTGACGTGTGTTGCTGGGTTCCATTTGGTGGATGACAGTGCAAATCCCAGAGCGTCATTGTTCCTGCTGCTGTTGCTACACAAGTGTAATACAGATTGCCGTTGGGGCCGACCAGTTCCGCTCCAACGGTCCATCATGAGCACGCTCTCGCCCATCTTTCCACATAAAATATCAAATGCCGAGGCACGACTGCGTCTGACTAAAGCAGGAGGAAGGGGACTTTCCAACAAAAAGGACCGACCGACCGCAGAGTGACCTTTTTCCAACTGCGGAACACGCACTTGAAGGCGGAAAGGAGCATTAACCCGGTCGAGTCTTTCAAGGCCCGTTACCCCGTAGCGTGTGCGGCACGCTATTGGGAAATTGCAGTAATGATGACTGCCTATGGAAGCCATAGGTGCATATGCTGGTGACTAGCAAATGGGATGCAGGCAACCGTGTCGATCGGATCCATCGCGCTGTTTAGCAACTGATACGAGCTACGCCTAGGTACATCCAGGCACCGTAATGGAGACCCGAGAGCCGGCATGTTGAGACTGACTATCAAGCCATGTTGGAGGAGACACGGCCGTCCGAAGTGCCAGGGAAGACAAGAACCGGCAGTGGCAAAGGTAAGTTGAGCAATGTTGAACTCAGACTAGCACTGGAAGTTGATGTTTGCATCTACGACTGCATTTACTTGCTGTAGCATAAGGCTAACCTGGGCGAGAGTGTTTTGCATGGCCAGGCGGCTTGGATGTTTCGATGTCGTGCAGGAAAATATGCACGGCTAAGCGAAGTGATAGCTATCGGTTGGACGGTATCAGCAAGAATGCTAGAGGCTTACGGATCTAAGCTGCCGGGGCGAGCTAAGTATTGGTCATGCATCATCTGCCTGTAGTTGATCGGCGCGACGTTTCTTCCACGACGATCCTGCGTTGGTAGTTAGCGTGGTTTTGAGGATGCACGAGAACCGGGGAATTGCTTCCGACGGCAGGGATGCCGTGTGAGTAAGTCCAAGGCTTAGCATTCATATGTCTCAACCACTTTGGTGGACTCGCTAATTCTGGCGTGAGACGACACGGGCGACGTACGTGTCTGGATAGCCGCCCGTGGATATGGCTACCTGAGACGGCTGATGTGAGTGCCAGGATGTGACTTTGCCCGGGATAAGACATGTGTTGTCGTTGGCATTGCACGGTGTGGATGCAAGCAAGGGACGTGTTAGTTAGGGTGTGCATTTCCGGACAGAATAGCAGCGGCATGATATTGAGGCAACGGCTTTCAACTCAGCTTTGGGCTAGGGCTGTAAGCGTCCTGGCATGTGGTGTAACTTGTCAGGATAATGGGTCTGTACAACAACAGAAAACACTTGTGAAACTCTGTGGATAGCTGGCTCGGACAAGAGTCGAAAGCTCAGGTACTCGGGCCGTTGGTCAGTTGCGGCACGCCGTAGTGGCTCTCAGGTGGTGACGAAGTGGATATTGTGCATGAGCAAGTAATAGTGCAGAGAAATGACCGGAAAGAGAGACATCATGGACAAGTGGTGACCGTAAGAGGCTTGGGGGGCCATTGGTGCGTCCCAATTCAGCCATTTGTCGAGGCTCGCGTACAGGTAACCGACAGGAGAGCAAAAAAAGCAACCATGGTTTAGGACCACGTAATTGAGTGATCTTCGTTAGCGACATATGGCGCTGAAAGCTAGGTGGGATCATTATGCAAGTACCCGAAGAGCGACTACTGTAAGTAATGATTGTCAGACCACAAAGCCAAGCAAGGCCAGAGGGTCGAAAAGGTCGCGAGGCAAACAAGGCAAGCAAGGCCAACAGGGCATGCAAGGCATGCGAGTCGTTGTTGCTCGTGACGGGGAGGACATTTGTGATGGGAAACGAGGTGGATGCCAGGCTCTGACTCGGCGACATGTCCTGCAGAGCGACTAGCGGCTCCCAGAATATGTGTGTATGAGCATTTCCTGGCTAGGGGTATCTGGTAGACGAGGTGCTTGGGAAAAGCTGTGATCGGTCAAGCGTAGGAGTGCAGACAGGCCAATCAGGAGCGGGTCCGGATACCGAGGAAGCAGGACGAGGAAGGCGCGGGCGCGGGACGTTTCCTCATGGGGAGTGGTAAATGAGGGCCGACGCGCCTCTCATCGGTGAAGGCCATGGAGGGCAAGGGTTTCGGCTGTGGTGGATAGGATGGCCGTTGAGCGAGCGCGTCAGAACGGCGCAGGTGAAGCCGGCCAGCTAACGCCACAAGCACCGTTGGGTGCTAGCCGAAACAGACGAGCAAAGGGGGGCGGATGACAAAGTCAAGAGCGGCGAGGATTGCGAGAGAAGGGGAATGGCCGATCAGATCACTATGTGTTGGGTGAGGTGAGCATGTGTGGTGTGGGCTGGACGAGTGATATGGTTGTGGTGGTAAGGGCTTGGCGGAGGCGGCAGCGACTATGGCAGGAGCAGGAGGAGCAGGAGCAGGAGCAGGAGCAGGAGCAGGAGCGGCTATGGCAGCCGTCAATAAACAAGGACAACACGACAGCAACGGTATCAGCATCAACATCACTGTCATCATGGCCATGTTTGGGCAGAGGGGCGAGGTTGATGATGGGATGCAAGCAGCCCCCTTTTCGTTGTTGTCGATGGAGTTTGCGGCGCCTTTAGGTGGACGTCGCGGGAAGCCCACAGTTGGGTTCACCCGGTTGCAGCCGCACAAACAGGTACAGGAGGATGCTCATCAAACAAGCAAAGGAATGGTGGGACGGGCGGCGGACAGGCAAATTGGACTGGGGCAGCCTGTTGCGGGCGGGCGTGGCGGTGGGAGATGTTTGTGGAAAGGATGGTTTGCAGAGCAGGCTAGCAGGGAGGGACGGTCACGTGAGGAGTGGAAAGGTAGCCACGGTGGTGGTGGCAGGCTATTCTAGGCGACTGCGTGGCCGTGGCCGCTTGCCGCGGTGGGCGCACGACGACGGCAGGGCAGAGGCACAAAGGAAAACACGGGCGGGAGAAGCTGTGGCCGTGCGCAAAGAGGGTGGTAAGCCGCACGGGCAGTGTAAGTAGTGGGTGAGTAGGGACAGGTGCGGATGGATGGATGGATGGATGGATGGGATAGGCAGACGTGTACAATGGGTGTTAGTGTATGCAATAGTATCTAGTGGTAAGTATGTAGATGGATGGATAGGGAAGGGGAGGGAGGGGGAGAGAAAGCGTGTTTACGTATGTAGCATGTCAGTAGGTGAGTAAGTAAGAAGGTACGTACACTACACACACATGGCAAGTACGTACATGTATGGATACAGTAATAGACTGATAGGTGAGTGAGTACATACTACTAGTATTACATACATGCACTCGCCCACAGACACTCGTATGCTCAATGTCGCCCATCGGGCCGAGACGAGACGAGAAGAGACAACACATGGCTAGTACATGGTAACTTAGTTACAGAGGGAGAGAGGCACAGGCAGAGGCACAGGCAGAGCAGGCAGAGGGGCGGCTTGGGAGCGTGTGCACAAGCAGTAAGTTCAGGCCCGCCCAACGGATCGCCTGCCGCCAGCCCCGAGCCCCTTGGCGGCTGGCACCCATGCGCGTCTGGCCTCCCGGCCGTAAAAGCGCACGGGGGTTCGTGTGTGGCGCGCATGGGTCCAAGGACGGGATTAGGTCCCCGCTGCATGCCATCGCGGGTGGGTCTCCTGCTCTTCACATTGCAGCAGCGCGTTCCCCCGCAGCCAGCACAAACCAGTGCCAGGCCTACCTCCCAAGCCGCCCCTCGACCAGGGGGGCTCCAGCCGGTTCATCCTCTGCCTGGCCCGCGAGTGGAGCTGCACTGCATCTGCTCGAATCCCAGACCCTTTAGACTCTCCCGTGCGACTGTCTTCTTGTGCCACCCACCGCTTTCCTCTTCACAGCTCTCTCCTCCAGCCCGCTGACCGCCGCACCCGACCGACCATATAACCACCGAATGCCATGATGGGCAGCGACTGGCATCCACGCAGGCACCCGCACCCGCACCAGCACCCAGACGCAAACAACTACGCCCATCGCTCGCTCCCCAGCTTCGCCGAGCTAACGTCGTCGTCGACCGACTCGTTGTTGCACCGCCCTCGTGACGCTGTCCCACCTCCACCTCCGCCATCACTACCACCGCCGCAACAGCACCATCACCACCACCACCACCACCACCACCACCAGCAGCCCCAACCACCCTTATCCCACCCGCTGCCTCCAACCCCAATCGACCGGCCGGTCTCACGCTCCACCCCACCCGACGGCCTTTCTTCCACGGACTTTGCAAACCAGCCGCTCGTGGTAGACCGCGCTGCTTTTACTCCCATTAATCACGCGAGCCCTCACGTCAGGTAAGTCATGGCCTCAACTCTCATTTTCTCCCCCCCCCCCCCCCCCCCCCC